AAAAACGCAGCTTTTAGGGGCGTTGTCATTTTTTTGAACATCTGAACGTACCTGCATGTTAGCTAATGTGGCCATGCACAAGCAGACGTTTTACCATGTTATTTTGCAGTGTTCGGCGGTGGAAAAAAAATGTCAAAGACAAACAGGTGTATTTTGCATCTTTTCTGTGTAAATGTGCATAAACATACGCATACATGCATGCTTATGTGCATAAATGTATTCTAAAGACTAGAATACATGAATATTGTAGCCAACAGAATGAGTGTATGCGTAAACACTTCTAACTGCCATACGCATGTAAATGCACTTAAACACGCCTAAATGCAAGTGAAAAAAATGCAAGATTTGAGGCATTTTTTTATGCCAGATTCTTGCTGCATGTATTCATCTGCCCACATACAGTACATAAGGCCTAATCTGTGCCATGAAAATTTTACCTTTTGTCTAGAACTCCTCCTGAAAAATAGCTTCCAGATATGTGAGTGTGCCTAGATATTCCTGTGCCTACAGTCCTGGTGCCCAACCTGCGTTTCCCTATTGCCCTGTTATATTAGGGATTTCTATCAGTCTCATGCAGTATGTTTGCAGTCTATGTCTGTCTCCTGAACCATGTCCCAAGTCTCCAACATGTCCTATAGCATTTCTCCAATCTCCAACAATTCCTATAGCATGTCCTCAGTCATCAACAATTCCTATAGCATGCCCACAGTCTCTGACAGTTTCCTGCGGTATGTCCACAGTCCTTGACCATCTCTTGTATCAAGTCTGCAATCTCTGATCATCTTCTGTATTATGTCCACACTCTCTGACCATCTCTTGTATCATGCCCATAGTCTTTGACTATATCCTTTTGTTTGCTGTCTTTGATAATGAATATTCGCTGAATTTTAAGTGCGTCCCTTTGATGACCTCAGGGGCTGCCTTTGAGGTTCCTACATCAAGAAAGTTGACCAGCATTGGCCTACAGCCTCATAATTGTATAACTACAATGTGAGAGCTAAGTCACTGGTGCATCTGACTGCTAGTCTCAGCCAGGGGCAGACTGACCATTTGAAAACTCGGGCACTGCCCGAGGGCCCGGGGTCAGTAGGGGGCCCCATGAGATGCCCCTGGTACCTTTTTCATAGGCTTTTTTGAGTTTGGGCAAGGACACAGGGGCCCCATGATCCCCTATTGCCCGGAGGCCCCATGAGTTGTCAGTCTGCCCCTGGTCACAGCAGATTTGGAGATCGGGTAATGTCATTACTGTACCCCTGACTGCTCTCTGTGCTGGAGGCTCTGACATGAGGAATCAAAACCCTGCCTCTACCAAGATGGCTTCCTCCACCCAGAGATACAGTGCAAGTCATAGTAAGTGAAAAGAGCCCTAAAGCATGTACCTGTCATGAGAAAATGATGTAGCTAGTTATAGCTGTTATAGCTGGCCTTTCTGTTTGAGAATACTAGTTCCCTGGTTGTCATGCAGAAGCTAATGCTTTGAATGCTTTTTCATTGACTTGAAACAAGTATACAGCTAAGGAATTCTGGCACTCGTTTGCAGCGTGATTGTTCCAGGTCTGTGACTTCAAAGTATTGAAGCCAGACACAGCTAGGCAGGAATCCAGCAATGGAAGCCTCCATGCTCATTCTCATGATAGGTGTATTTTAAGGTGAACAATTTAACAATAACTCAAAATATGTTCTCGCTGAACTTTCTCACTTAGTTTTCCTTTAAAGTGGTTTATCTCCTAGCAACCACATTTTGGGAAGACGGATTTATTGATAGAAAGGTCAGTTCCGCTTCGCTCACTTGCACTGTCTGAATGAAACATTTCCACCATTATGACTACAGAGTATATTGTACGGTGCAGAGATGACAGCTCCCTCCTGTTAACTCGGACTGCTGTCAGTGGAAATGATTACATGCAGCCGCTGGTATGACGGACAGACATCAGGCACTGCAAATCACTTTCTTCCAGAGGCAATTATGGCAAGAGCAGCAGAACAATCCTCCACACCGCCCTGATTGATCGATGCCAAGTTCCCTCTCCATCTAAAATGACACATACACACGAACATTAAATGATCACCTTGCACTGGTGATCATTTCTGCTTTCCCTATATGTGCCCAGCTAAGAGATCATTACGCTGCAAACTGCCTAGCTCTGATGATGGGATCAATATGAACTGTGAGACTAGATGGGAGCTCTAAAAGGTTCTCATTGACTCCTGTGATACAAATTACCATGTTAAACTGTAAATTTTACCCTGTAAACTCTGAATATGGACTTTCAGTGAAAAAAAATGAAGTGTACATAGACTACAATTAACCATGATATACAACCCACCATACTGAACCATTACAATAATTGATGATAATAGATATGCTTAAAGTGGAACTCTAGAAATACATCCTAGAACATTTTTTAATGTGTGTGTGTGTGTGTGTGTGTGTATATATATGTATGTATGTATGTGTATGTATGTATGTATATATATATATATATATATATATATATATATATATAAAAAGAAAGAGGGTAGGCAGCACCTACTCTTATACCAGAGCCCTGACTTCCAGGGTCAATATGTTGCAACATTTAAAATAAATTGCAAACTGGGGGTTGCAGCATACACAAAGTTTATTTAAGGGTCAGTTCACACCAGAATGTGGTTAGGGAAAGCTGTGTTTTGTGCGGGTATCCCAAAACGCACTGTAATTGTGATCTGCAGTGCGTTTTTAGCGCACTGCAGTTGTGATCTGCAGCAGGTGTCCAGTTAATGACACCTCAAATGCAGGTTGCAAACGCAGTTTGATTGCCCACATGGGATTGCATGGTACAGAAGTACCATGTGATGCGGATGCAGTGAGTTTCTAAAAGTAGTGCATGCACTGCTTTTGGTAGATCATTTTTAGTGGGCTGAAATTGCACCGCGCAGAACTGCATGTGAATCACACAGAAATGCACAGCTTGTTCCTTTGCAATTCCTGTTGTGTACTGGCCCTAAATGTCCATCAGACAAAAAAAAAAAAACATTACACGTTGGCTTCAGTTTCAGGTAACAAGCCATTCATGAGGCCAAGAAAGTCAGATTTTAAGTGGCAGTAAAATCTCTTGAAAAGTGTTTTTTTTAAATGGCAAGCACAATTTTTCATATTTTGACTACTATCACTTTAACCACTTGCCATTTAGTGTATGTATATAAATGACCTGGACAGCAGGCACTTATACCAGGGCCTTGGCTGCAGCAGGTATTGTTTTCTGTAGCCAGCAATCAGCTTTCATGTACAAGTGATCTCTCTAACATCACTCAGAAGGCCCCCCACACACACACACAGCCGCATACCGCTGTTCTCGGGCTGTCCCGTTCCATGCAGGAGCCCAGGACTGCTGTAAGCAGTCGGGTTGGCTGCTTCCACATAAGATGGAGGAACATCCATTTCCTGATCTCCTCTGTGATGAATAAAGCCAGAAGAAATGGATTTCATCAAAACTGGTTTCAGTATTCTTTTTCCCTGGCAGTTACAGATGGCTTGAAGGGTAGGGGAGATATCAAGGGTCTAATAAACCCCTGATGTCTCAATAAAAAGTAAAACTTGTGATAGCAATAAAGTTAAATTAAATAAAAAAAATTAAAAAAATACAATTAAATATAATAAATAATAATTATTTTTTTTTCTAAAAAAGCACCTCCACTCCCCATGCGCACACCCAAATGCAAACAAGCACATCCAGCAAGCATAAGTAAACGTTGAGCGCACCACACATATGAATCATAATTGTGCATGTTGGAGTGACAGAAATAATTCTAGAGTCTTAGCTCACATTTAACTCTAAACTGCTAACTTCTAAAGGCATTTAAAGCATTTCCTATGGACAATTTTAGGTAGTGTAGTTTGTCGCCATATCACAGGTGTGCACAATTTTAAATCTTGACATGTTTGGTATCTATTTACTTAACGCAACATCATTTTTTATATTTTACCAAGATATTGTGTATTATACCATATTGTATTTGTGTGCAATAAAATATATTCAAGCATATTGTTTGCTGAAAATTTACATTTAATAAACAGCTGTGCAAATGTTGTGTGACATAACAACTGCTATTTTATTCTCCAGGCCCTCTGATTTCAGAAAATACATAATGTTGGGGGGTTTTCTAGCAAAAAAAAAGCTGATTTTAACATGTACTATATGTAAAAAAATGTCATAATTGCTATGAATGGCAAGTGTTTAGTTACATTTTATGTATGCTGCAGTCCCCAGTTTTGGAATTTTTAGCCATGGTGCAGTAAGTGTGTAAAACAAGTTCTTTATTAAAGTAACAATATATTGCACTCACAAGTGGAGGGCATCAAAGGGTATATCTGTAAAGTAATGTATTTCTGACTTGATGGTAAGAGGTGTGGGGGTAAATCCTGGAGCCCTGGCCAGGGGCATCTACTAGTAGGATCCAGTGTATGAAGCAGATGGTCCCCTCACCCATGGACTACTATGCCCGAAAGAAGCCACTGGTCTGTCACCCAATCTGTAAAACCCCCATCTGATGTCACCACTGGGAGCATGCACAGTAGGAGTGCTTCCTCTTCCTCAGCCTACCCCAGTGGGCTACCTACAGCCTGTTTATATATGCAACCTGAAAGTTTCACCTATGGCTAGATCCAGGTTAAATCCACATTGTGACACTTGTATTAGAAGGGTTTGGGAAAAACTGCAATAGACCTGCTGCTGGGCCTTAAAAGGAATCACCACAGAAAATGTAATAATGACAATAAAAAAAATAATAAAACATGCTGAGCACAGTCTTGAACTAAATTACTATGGCTACCACAAAGAAATAGGGGGAAAAAAAACTGGATCAGTGGGGAAAAAAAAAATTATATATATATATATATATATATATAACACACAGACACACTATATTGTTAAAAGTATTGGGCCAGCCCTCCAAATCATTGGATTCAGGTGTGCAAATCACCTCCATAGCCACAGGTGTATAAAATCAAGCACCGAGGCATGCAGACTGCTTCTACAAATATTTATGAAAGAATGGGTCATTCTGAGAAGCTCAGTGAATTCAAGCGTGGTACTGTGATAGGTTGTCACCCATGCAATAAATCCATCCATGAAATTTCCTTGCTACTAAATATTCCACGGTCAACTGTTAGTGGTATTATAACAAAGTGGAAGCAACTGGGAACAACAGCAACTGAGCTATGAAGTGGTAGGCCACCAAATGACAGAGCGGGGTCAGCGCATGTTGAAGCACGCAGTGCGCAGAATTCGCCAACTGTCTGCAGAGTCAATAGCTAAAGACCTCCAAACTTCATGTGGCCTTCAGATGAGCACAACAACAGTGTGTAGAGAGCTTCATGGAATGGGTTTCCATGGCCAAGCAGCTGCATCCAAGCCTTACATCACCAAGTGCAATGCAAAGCGTCAGATGCAGTGGTGTAAAGCATGCCGCCACTGGACTCTAGAGCAGTAGAGAAGTTTTCTCTGGACTTACAAATCACACTTCTCTGTCTGGCAATCCAATGGACGTGTCTGGGTTTGGTGGTTGCCAGAACAGTACTTGCCTGACTGCATTGTGCCAAGTGTAAAGTTTGGTGGAGGGGGATTATGGTGTGAGGTTGTTTTATAGAGGTTTGGCTTGGCACCTTAGTTGCAGTAGACAATTTCATGCTCCCAACTTTGTGGGAACAGTTTAGGGATGGACCCTTCCTGTAACAACATGACTGCGCACCCGTGCACAAAGAAAGGTCCTTAAAGACATGGGTGAGCAAGTTTGGGATGGAAGAACTTGACTGGCCTGCACAGAATCCTGACCTCAACCCAATAGAACACTTTTGGGATGAATTACAGTGGAGAGTGTTAGCCAGGCCTTCTCATATGACATCAATGCCTACCTCACAAATGCACTTCTGGAATAATGGGACAGCCTTCCCAGAAAGGTTGAAGCTGTTTTAGCTGCAAAGGGTGGGCCAACTCAATATTGAACTCTACAGACTAAGACTGGGTGTGTGCAAAATATATATGTATGTATGTATGTGTGTATATATATATATATATATATATATATATATATATATATATATATATGTATATATATATATATGTATATGTATAATTTTTTTTTGTGTGTGTGTTTTTTTACAAAAATTACATGAAGGAGGAATAAATAACAATTCTAACTATAGCAAATGCAAAAAAAAAAACAATGATTGATGCAAAAACAAAGGGATGCAGGCGTAAAAAGAAATTGACATTTTCTGATGAGCAGAATGTCAATCGGACACCAGGAATCTAACCAGATAAAAATAGAACAATATACATAAAAATTGTATGTCCCTCACCCAAATATATAGACTATAAAACTAGAAGTCGAAAATGTAAAGAAATCACTGGAGACTGATCCAAAAATGAAAGGGGTGAGCCTAAGCAGATACAAAAAGAAGTCAATTACAGGATGGTGAATACATCAAGCTCCTGGTTGAGTCTTCCCAGGGAGAGAATATCAAGTTTGTAAATCCAAAGTATCTCTTGAACACAATCTCATAAACCTTTCTCCTTCTAAGAGAGATCCTGGGATAAATTCAATGGCCAGCGGGTTGAGACCAGTTGGTTCTTATTTATGGTGGAGAGCAAAATGCATGGATGAGGACCATTCTCAGTACTTCTCCTGTGCTCTCCAAAACGAGTTCAAAGCATCCTAATGGTTCTATTCAAGATTTTTTTTTAAGCCACATAGGCAACATATGCAGTAGATAAGCTCATTGATAGAAAAACTATGACCTTTGCGGTCCCAAATCTCTCCCAGCCATGATGAATGAAAGACAATTCCGCTTGCGTCACTGAAAGATACCCTTGAGGGCTGAAAAGGTGAAACTATCATAACTAGAATGTGGCATCGAAAGGGGAACATTTGCTAGGGGCTATCAGATTTTTGATGTTTCTGTGTTTCTAGACTTTCTAAAAACAACCTGAGGGCAATCTGGTATGCTTTTGGCAAGATTAGGATCACAAAAAAGAATATGCCAATGTTTCTCTAGTACCTTCCAGATGGCAAAATGGAGTTAAACCTAGCCAAAAAAGATTGGACCCCTGGCATCACAGGCCTTCGCCTTAGGAATTCATTTTCCGTGGGATCCTCATAGTATTTGCAGAGGTATGTCTTACACCTTTCTATACTAATGTATAACTTAAAAATTCTGCGCTATAGTATATATGTGATTCCCTAACATTTTTATTGAATTTTACATGTCGGACGAGGAGCTGATGAAGGAATGGTCGAATGTGCACAGATGATGTTCACTGGGGAGAGCCAAGGTTTATTTTCTCTGTTCAATTTTTGGAAGTAAATTTTGGAGCTCTACCAGTGTCCGGATCACAGCCAGTTTTTGGAATTATCCAACGGGTGTTTTATCCATCTACCATTGGGTGCCAGTTTGATTCTTTGATGTCATAAAGTTTCCAGGTCCATGGCAAGCGTTTGGATTTTGTATTGCGCATTTTGACCCAACCTTAACCGGTGGTCAATTTCATCTGGTAAGAAGCAGAATTTTTTGGGTGTTGGTGATGATGGATTTTCTTCATCTTCTTGACCAGATTGAAGCATTCATGACAATGCTGATGTCCCATTAAAGGGGCTTATTCTATGTTTTATCTCCATCTCATGTATTGTATGTATGTATTGGACTTTTCATTTACTCCATGTATTTGCACTAATTTTTTGGTTATATGTAGCGCCGCACTTTTATGTTTTTATTTCTCTACTAATACTTGACCCTGAGTACAATAGTCCTCTCAAGCAATTTCTGTACAGTTTACAGAACTAACTGTACGGTTCACCAATTTCATGGTCCCATCAGCTCCATACACCAGTCCCTGCTAGCAGATGCCCCTAGACAGGGCTCTATGATTTATCCCCACACCTCTTATCATTGGGCCAGACGTACTTTACGGATATGCATGTTGATGTCTTCCACTTGTGGGTGCCATGTAATATTATTTTAATAAAGTTCTTGTTTTACATACTGCTTGCACCTTGGTATTTGGGCTGCCTCCCTTCCTTCTTACATACAGTTGGAACCTCACAGCATGCAGTGGCAGAGCCATGTTTTTGTGTGAGTGTCATAAGTTTAGCTACTCAGGCAGCAGTGTGTTTTATTTTAATGAAAGTTTGTAATGTTTTGTTGTTTTATGGAGTCTTTCATGTTTCTTTATTTTTTGATCCATCCACACACAAACATATTTTTACTGCTGATTCTGAGGGAGAAGGGTTTGATTGGGCGCTGTGATACTGTAGCAGAGGCACAGACACATCAGTTGTTTTAGATTTGTTTATTGTTTTGTTTGTGAACGGACTGAGAGCAGAGCTGAAATAACAAGTTGAATCACAACACTGGCTGTAAGAATTACAAATCATTTGGCAGGTGAAGCAATGCACAGTATTCATCTATTTAAACTGTGTATTTAGCAGCTAACCTGGCCTCTTAATTTAAATGCTTACCTCTTCTTGAAGTGATATTAAAGGCAATTAAAAAAAAAAAAAAACTAACATGTCATACCTAGCTGCTCTGTGCAGTGGTTTTGCACAGAACAGCCCCAATCCTCCACTTCTTGGATTCTGGCCCCTCTCTCCTGCCTAGTGCCCCCATAGCAGGCAGCTTGCTATGGGAGCACCCAAGCAGGCACGCTCCCGAGCCACTGCTCTGTATGTCCATTCACACACAGAGCTGCAGCTCGACCCAGCCCCTACTCTCTCCTCACTGGCTCAATTGTTGTGACTGACAGCAGCGGACAAAGCTGATCACATGGCTGTGGAATGGGCCAATCACAGTTGCTTTTAACATGTGTCCAGCTATGTCCAATCACAGCTGGTCACCGGGTAAATAGGAAATGACGGTTATCAGCAGTCCTCTCCTCACACTGACAGTGCGAGAGGATAGGAGAGCCTAAGCGGCATTTAGCACTGATCATCAGGGCACTGGTCATTAGTGTCCTAGTGATTAGTGTAGCCCCATCAGTGCCCATGTGTGCTGGCAGTCAGTGCACATCAGTTAATCAGTGCTGCCCATCAGTGCCCCCTAACAGTGCACATCAGCGCTGCTTAACAGTGCCGCTTATCAATGCCCATCAGTGCCGCTTATCAATGCCCATCAGTGCCGCCTAACAGTGCTCATCAGTGCCGCCCATCAGTACCACCTAACAGTGTCCATCAGTGCCGCCTAACAGTGCCCATCAGTGCTGCCTCATCAGTGCAGGCTGTCAGTGCCCATCAGTGACTCCTCATCAGTGCCCATCAGTGAAGGAGAAAAATTACTTATTTGCAAAACTTTATAACAGAACTAAGAACTTTTTTTTCAAAAATTTTGGTCATTTTTAGTTTGTTTAGCAAAAATAAAAACCCCAGTGGTGATCAAATACCACCAAAAGAAATCTCTATTTGTCTCAAAAAAATGATAAAAATTTAGTTTGGATACAGTGTTGCATGACCACGCAATTGTCATTCAAAGTATGAGAGCGCTGAAAGCTGAAAATTGGTCTGGGCAGGAAGGGAGTAAAAGTGCCTGGTAGGCAAGTGGTTAAAAGAATATATTCTGTTTATGTACTGTATGTATTCTTAACTAAAGAAATCCCTTCTATTGCAGTCAACCTCCTCCAAATCTCTTTTTTTTGCTGCTGTGATCTGACTTCCTGTTAGAGGGTGGCTATATTTTATTCATTTCAGGTACTTGGCGCCGTCAATTTACACAGCGCTTTATATTTATATTGTACATTCACATCAGTCCCTAACCCTCAAGGAGTGTACAATCTAAGGTCCCTAACTCACATTCATACATACACATACTAGGGACAATTTACAGTAGACAGGGACCAACCTACCAGCATGTCTTTGGAGTGTGGGAGGAAACCGGAGTACCTGGAGGAAACCCACACAGGCACACGGAGAACATAAAACTCCAGGCAGGTGGTGCCGTGGTTGGCATTCAAACTGACAACCCTGGTGCTGCTAGATAGGAGTGCTAACCACGTACCTACTATTTTTGTTCTCCATGGTCCCACTGTAGGAATGTAGCCACTCTCTCGTTCTTGCACCCAACATGAACTGTGGATTATGGGATGTGTAATGTTCATACAGCAGTGCACATGACTGCAACGAACATGCACTGCTCATTCCAAACAAATGTTAATGAGGGAAAAAGAGATGTTCATGGAGTACATTGTAAGAGGGCAGAAAACACATTAAGAAACAGTTTACTGAAAAATAAATTACAGGGCCACTAAGAGTTTTGGGGTTAATACCACTTCAAGGCTCCATGCACACTAGCATTTTTAAGCTCCTAGAAGCTGTTATTAGCATTTTTTTTTGCTCCTAGAAGCCATATAGTGTTATCCTATGTGTCTATGCACACTACTTTAGGCTATTAGCGGTTTTTGAACTTCAGCATCTAGGAGCAGAGAAAAAAAAAAAAACAGTTTTTGCTAAATGCTGATAAATGTTACTAAACGCTACTAAAACGCTACTAACAGCTTTTTTTTTCCAGCTTTTTTTCCCTACATGTACTGTAAAAATGCTAATAAAACACTAACACTCCTAAATGCTCTTAAACACTCCTAAACACTTCTAAACACTACCAGAAACTGCTATTACCAGCTTTTTTTATCCAGCATTGTTTCCAGCATTTATTTTAGCTTCAATAATGCTAGTGTGCATGGAGCTCAAAGCTGAACTCCAGCTAACACTT